TTCAGGGACATGTCCGGACATTAAGCCTCGGAAGATATTATGATTAAGATTATGGCTAAACATATCATAATGATAGCAATAACTTCCTGCCTGCAGACTCTCTTTATTTAGTTGACCTTGGCCTATATGCAGCCTGCAGAACTCATGACAATGAACTAAGCATTTAACAGCCTGAGCATAGACAGCCTGTCTCCACTAAACTAATACAACAAATATCTAATCAATATCTATCTGACTAAGAAATTACCTAACACTACAAATGTGTATCTATGTAGGTAATATTTATGAATACTGTCTTTCCTCATTTTCCCACCCTCCTCCTACCTTTCTATTATCTGTTGCCTAAAACACACCAAAAGCCTCGGTACCAGACACCTCTTCCTTCCTGCTCAACATACTTGGTGAATAAAGCTGATTCTGATTCTAAAGGTATGGCTCCTTGAGCAAGCAAATTCAAGTCTCTCTTACCATCTACTGGTGAAATCTGGAATAACATCAACCACAGTATTGTTATTTAATTACATGTTCAAAACCTGTACAAAAAAAGACAGTGAGAGACAGATGTGTGAAGGGAGTCTTACCCAGACTATCCTTCTCCTCTTCTACAGTTGCATTAATCCTTCGGGCCACATTTGCAATTGCCTCACCCATTTCTCTCCTGTAAGTGTTCCTAAAGAAGTTCATGCAACATTATTAGGGGTGCACCGAAATTTCGGCCACCGAAAATTTTCGGCCGAAAAGGCCATTTTTATTTCGGGCCGGAATAAAAAAAAAACTCGCCGAAAATGCCGCGCCCCGCCCCACCCATCATATCCTGGTGCCCCGCCCATCATATCCTGTTCATGGGAGACGCTGTTATATCACGCTATGTTGTTTACAGTTTGTTTGGAAGTTCTATTGCTGTTTTTGCACCGTTTTGCATTGTTTTGCACAGCAATTTAAAATGTTTGAGTGTTACATAAAACTTGAATAATATTATTTGGTATTGTTGTTAAAAATATTTTAGATTTTCATTTCAGATTCATCAAATTCAAGTAATTTTATTTATATATATATATTCGGTTTCGTCTCGGTTTTCGGCCAAATGCATCCTAAATTTTCGGTTTCGGCCCAGAATTTTCATTTCGGTGCATCACTATCTCTTTGTATTCAGGAGGCTACATTGTGCTGAAATCTGGAGGGCTGATTTGGTCACAATATATTAGAAACACCACAGGTATAACTAGAATTACTGCTTCATGGTTGTATGCCTCCACAAACCAAATTCACTTTTCATTTCGGTGCATCACTAAACATTATGCTTACAAATACTTTTTTGTGACAGCAAAATTATAATTAAAGTAAGTAGTAAGGATAGTATATTATTGCAACTCTGTCCAGCTTCATGCAGTTAACACATTGCTAAAAAAAAATAAGTTAGTGATGTATGTGTTCTTGGGTTTTGGTTGTTAGCCCCATCACATGTGAAAGGATCAAAAACTGATTGCATGTTCATAATCACTGGTTTATCCATCCTGCATAGGATCCTACTGACAACAGAGAAGGCAAAAAAGTCAAATTCCCTGACTCTGAAACTGAATTACTGTCTTCTGTAAATGTAGCTTACATACATTTAGGAAGAAATACTTAATCATTCAGTACATGGCTGTACAACAATGAATATATTCATACCATTCTAGTAAAAGCAAACAAATACATGCATTATGTATACAGAAGTTTGAAAAAGTAAAAAGATTGTCTAACCAAAAAAGAAATTGTTTACATTGATATAAAACAGATTAGCCTAAAATCACCACAAATTATAAATTGGATACAGAAAATGTTTTGGCGTTTTTGCTTAGAAAATGATTGTAATTTTTTTTTATTATTAAAATAGTTACATTGTTTTGGTCTTTCGACTAATGGACAAATTGTTGTAGCTTTACTTTTCAGATCAGCTCACTAGTGCTCTGATTGATTTCTATAAGCAGAATGAATATTTGAATCTCCTTAGTCGCTGCAGAGATGTGTAAAATGTAGCTAGTAAGTCTTCAAAGCCTAAATCATAAAGTAAGAGTAAACTGCCTCAATGTACCTATTCATGGTCATTACTGTCTACTGCTGGATGACGCCAGAGTTAAAACCATTGCACTAACGTTACACCTGTTAAGATGTTGAAAGATCACATTTCCTTTCTATGCAGGGAGCAAAATATCGCTATACGTCATGTAAAATAAGCTTTAGACTTGCTGTACCATAGCCCTGCCTGTTGTAGACACAATTTCATTAGTGTTTAATTGAAACCACATCAAGAAGTCACTTACCCAACTAGAAGCTACTGTTACAGAGCCAGGCAGCTGCTAGTGTTAGCCAGCTAACATTAGCTATAGCAACCCAACAACTGTCGACGTGGTGAGTATGTATTTTGTTTTAGTTCCGGAAGAGGTCCATTCACCTTAATGTTGCGTCACTCATTAGAAAAGCCATCAGTGACACCTTATGTAGTAATGTGGCAAACCAACTCTGTAAAACTTGTTGGATAGGCCTACTAGCAAACAGCCGAATAGGAAATGTATTTAGCCTAAATCACGGGCGTCAACACTGCGCCTTGAAGTTGCAGACAACGTCAAACATATATTAAAAACGGACATGTCAATTCGAGCGCTAATACTTAATCATAACTTTAGTAATGTTTTTCAGTTGGTCAATATGTTCTTGTTAATTTTGGCACCATATTCAGACGTTTCACATCTACTGGAATATTTTGCACAGAGGCTGGCCCATTTAAACTATAAGGAGGAAACATGCAGAGGTTTTTGAACAGTATTTCTAAATATATTTTAGTGATTATATTTATATTAGACTAGGGGTGTAACTAATGATTATTTTAATTATTGATTAATCAACTAACTGAAATTTAAAAAAAAAGAATAATGTAAAAAAAATTGTGAAACTATACCTATGTTGTTTAATATTTCCCACAGACCAAGGTGTTGTCTTCAAATAGGTTGAAACAAGAGTGACATTTTTTAATTATCTTTGCTTGAAAACTCAAATGATTATCAAAATAGCTGCAGATTAAGTGTTTAATTAACTGATTGTCTTTTGGCCCTATATACCTGATCTGCTGATTATTTTCATGATTAATCTTTTATTCGGTAAGACATCAGAAAACTGTAAAATGGTCATCACATTTTCCCAAAGCTCAAGGTGATGTCGTCAAATGTCTTGTTTTGTCAGAGCAACAACCCAAAACCAAAAGAGATTTAATTAACCATTATGTTAAGACAAGGAAAAACAAGTCAAATGTTGCCTTACCTCTGAGTCCAGGTCAAGTATTCCCAGTTTGCCTGCTGGCAAATTCTATTCTCTATTCTCTATCCTCTATTTTCAGAGGATTTGAATACAATGAGCATTCTAGCTTCAAAAGAATAGACTTTAGTGTAGTGTTGATACAACTGTAGCATTTGCTGGATATGCCTCTCCTATACAATGCTTTATTTTGAATTAGTAGTCATCAATGGAATTTGCCTGATGTGGATGACTGAAACAGTCAGAATCTAGAAAGATCCACCTGTTTTGGTGTGTTGTCTTTTTTGTATCACATACAGTAGTTACAGGTAAATATGCCAGTGATCTGAGCAGGGATATGTAGCCTGTTGTGCTACATATCCCTGTCATCCCTGTCAGTAAAATGTCAGAGGCTAAATACCAAAATGCATGCCAACAGGAACAACACAATACATTTTTAAGAGAAAATAAAAACAATACGATCATCAAAAATTATTTAACAAGACTATGTACAGTATCTGATCAACCAGTGCCATCATTTGGTTACAAGACAGACTTTGATATAGTAATCACTGCTAGACACATTTTGATGTATATGAAAAAACAGGGTTTGATATCGAGCCCTAGTGTTGAAAATAAGCTTGAACAGTAATTTTGCATTTAAAAAAAACTTATAAAATACAGTACAGTACATAACTTTCTTATGCTGACATGCCAAAAAAGTGCAATGCAAGTAATTAAACATAACAAAATACAAAAATCTTGTGAAAATGTACATAAATATATATTGTTTTAATATTTACAATAAATATACATCAATTTACAGTTACACAAATGGTAGTGTATAATAAAACAGTGCCAAAGTATTCAACAACATTGCTATTTCATGTTTACTTTAATTAAACTGATAAGTTAAAGAGAATAAACTTTTTTAAAATTAGATTATGACAGCTGCACTCATCTGGATGCTATTGTTTTGTTGAGTTTGTATTTTAGCATATCTTAAAATAACATTGTTCCTCTTACAAACCAGAGGCCACATCACAAATTACAGTTGTGTCTCCACACATATCAGCTACAATCTTACGCTGCACAGTGACAAATATAAAAGAGCCCCCCCCTTTTTTTTTTT